AGGAGAGAGGGACTGAAGCCTTGACTTGTTTGCCGCCAGTCTTGTACTCCGGAGGTTCATTTTGTGATAGTAGCTCTCTGGTCACTTTGTAAAGCCCCATGTGCCAGACTACCAGACTGGACCCCAGTTCCTTGAGTTGCTAGCTCTGATAACCAAATGCCAACTGTATCTGATGAACACTGAACCTTGGTAGTGCATTCGAGATCTTTCCGTGCTTCCTTTCTCACCCTCGGTCTCCCCACATGCTGCTTTTCCTCGTTCGTTTGCTTAAGTTGGGGCCTGGAGGTGGTCTAATGAATTCTCTCTGATCACTAAGCCTTGGGAGAAGACACTCATTTCTGATCATTCTGAGTAGATGGCATTTAGCAAATAACTGTTTGCACAGGTTTCTCTGTAGTAGCTTTCTTCATTGGAAAGCTGATCAGTATAGTACAATGCCATGCAGGCAGGGTATGCCTAAGAAGTCATTATTGGTCATCAGCTGTAGCTCCCTCCATTAAGAGAGGTGGAAACAAAGCCTGCCCCTCCCCTAGAGACAGGCAGGTTCCTGCGTGGTTTGGACCTGCTTTATTCAGAACAGCCACTTTCACTTCCAGAAGAAGGGGTCATTTTTTGTGCACCTTCTGCTCCTCTGCCTTGCCCTCTCTGCTGCTGCTGCTGTCCCGTTTCTGTCTGCTCCTGTGTGAAGCTGCGCCCTGTTAGCTGTACAGTACCTAGCACAGTGCCATGCACACACCACGTATTACTTGATTTTGATGAGCTGCTCGGGGGTCTTGGAGAAGAACGGTCTCGTGAGTCCTTTCCAGGCCTTTGCTCTATAGATATCATTCTGAGCTGCTGAGGCGTCTTCTGTCCTAGCTGCTGTGATGTATCTATTCTTCCTGTCAGACTGTGGCATTGGGTACGAGAGAGAACCTGTGTGCAGTAGGAATTGAAGGAGCAGCAATTTTGAAAGGAAGGAGGTTATCCCTGGGGTTGAGAACGGGTAGAAGGACTGGAGGACCAGAGGCCCCAAGTTGGCTTGTGGGGGAGGAGGGAGGATGGTTCCAAGCGCTGCTGTGATGGGCGGCGCGCTCCTCCACGTGTAGAGAAGCCGTTATCATCTTGGGAGGAGAACGTTAAGTTACAGGAGGATGGCCCACCACCGTCCCTCCCTTTGGATGCCCAGCGCTCCTTTCTGAAACCTCAGGCCTGAGCTGCCTGGCCCTTTCCAAAGCACAAGAGGCACCAAGCTGGCTTCGCCAGAGCCGCTGCCACGCTCCTGACCCCGGCTGGTCCCGGTGCCCCCGAGCGCTGCTTTGTCACGGAGGCGGGCTGCCCGTGGCACCTGCCTGTCGCTTCCTTCCTGCTTCGCTGCTTTCTCACCAGGCCTTTCTGTCCCCTCGGCCAAATATTTTAAACTCAGGCTATGGAGGAAACCGTGGTGCCCTGTCTTTGCCCAGGTTATGCCAAGGTCACTAACAGAGTTGTCCATTTTGTCCAGTTAAAAAAGGGATGTCAGGAATAATTTCAGGATGAGCGAATCCCAGAGAAGGTTGGCTCAGGTACTTGTCATCAGACTCATAGCTCTAAGCATCTTTTCCCTGTTTGCCTTTAGGAGAAATAAGTTGGTTATGGGTGCAGTTAGGTTCTCTTCTGTTGACTTCTTAACCTTTCTGATTTTTTTAGTGGCCTGATTTTGAAGGTGATAAAGGGGAGTCAGAAGCTAAGGCCTGCATCCCTGTCCTCAGAGGCCTCTCTCCTACCAGACCCTTAGAGCCAGCCTAGTGGTGGGAGAGGGCCGAAGCCCTCTAGTCTTCAGAGGCAGTTTGGTTACATTTTTACCAACATGAAGACTTTGAGGGTAGCAGAAAACCCTTCAGGATGTACAGAGTGCAGAATGCTATGGCCTAACCACGCTAGACAGCAGGCATATTGAGAAGAGTTGGGAGATCTTGCTGGAGTGGTTACAAGTGCCCTGAGGCCATTGGAGAAAAGACTACAAAGTGAACTGACCTTGGAGAGCCTTGAAGGATTGGTTAAAAATGGCAAGAGTGAGGGCCAGAGTTTTAGGGAGACTTCATGGCCCCCCCCAGGGGAGTGCCTATTCACACTGAAGCTGCAATACTTTCCAGATGAGAAAAACTGTAGTCACAAACACTACAACTGGAGGACTGACCCCTGCTCAGATTGGATGGGGATGAGAGCCCACTGGGACTTTGCGGGGAGGCCCGCACCACTCATTTCCCTGGGCTTGGGCAGGCCTCTCTCCTTATGCAATAATAAAACGAGCATATGGGTCTGTAGTTGGCAGCTGCTCTGAGTCGCCTCTAGAATTGGTCTGTGGCCCAGTGGAGCCAGGGCTCTTCTCACCTGCAGGCTGTGCGGGGCACCTGCAACAGGAGGGGACGAGGGTGCAGTTTGCCTTGCTGAGCTTCCCTAGCCGGAGCAGTTGTAATTAAATGCACTTTTCACACTAAAAGGTTTTTTTTGTTTTTTCTCACCTTAAACCCAGATTCTCCCTGGTAGATAGAGAACAAGTCCCTGTAATCCCAGAGCCGTGTCAGCTGCAACCCCCAGCAGTGACAATGGCCTCGTGTCGGGTCCCTGCCTGCAGTGTGTATGGCAGGGGCCCTTGTGCCTTTACTCGATGTCAAACCCACAAGCATTTGCATCTTTCTGGCTGTTGTAGGGACTGAGATTTCTTCAGTGGAAGCTGACCAGGTGGTTTTGAAACTACCTAAAAAGGGAGTTTGCAGTGAGGTGGAGCAACAGGGTGTGAGTGAGCGGACCCTCAGCCTCCTCGACACCCTGTGCCGCATTGAGAACATGTATAATGTTGGGGAGAGGATCGTAGCACATCTGGAGTATTATCACAGGGCCGGTCCCCAGCAACCTTCCCAGTCACACAGGGTCCCCTGTACATCACATCCCAGCTGCAAAAGGACAGCACCTTAAGGGGGTGGGGGGTGAGGCGGGGATGAAGACAAAATAGAGAGGGGAAGGAAGGGAATGTTATCCAGGACGAAGAGAAGGCCATACCTGGAGAGGACCTGGTGGATCTGTTTTAGGTAGGAGTTCCCTGTAGATAAATTACCGATCCCTCAACTATAATCCCCATTATGTAATGGCTGAATTAACATGTAACCAACTGCATTGTATCTAAAGCCTTAGAACTAGTCAGGTGCTCCCCCCACCCAATACTGTTTCTTACCCTCTAATCCTACCTGATCTTTAACAAAGCATTAATAATTCTAAGGATAATCTCTATTTTGTTGTGCTTTTTTGTAACTGTTTTAAATAAATCAATTTGTACTGTATATTTGTACCTTTTGTGAGATCCTTTTTGCTGTTTTACCATTTTAAGTCTCTGTACTTGGCTACACAGATTGTATTTTTATTGTTAATGCTCTTCTTATGGATAACCTGCATTTAACTTGTGGACTATGTAAACACAGTATATATCAATATCTCTATATATCTATATATCTCTATATAAACTAATAGCTTTTCTTTTTGGTGTTTGCGCCTCCTTCCTGTCTTAGCCCCAGGTCGTGGGGGGCACCCTCTTGTCTGTGGTTTCCCAGAGCTCTAAGCAGATAGTTCTGGAATCTGTGCTGTCTGCTGACGAGTTCCGATGAAGACCCCACAGCTTGGCTCTTGCCTTAGGGAACACTCATAGCTGCAGGGAACCGTGGGGGTATTTGCTGCTCTTCCTTTCACCTATGCCTCTAGCTGTCAGTCACTAGTACTATCTCTAACATGGACTCTTGCTCCAGTAATAGTTAAAGGGATTTGTCTAACAGAAGTACACTGTTAGGAGCAGGCAGCCCCTCAGCAGGTGCTGAGGTGAGCAGGGTGGGAGGCCGGTGGATGTACACCCTGATCTCCAGGTTTGCAGTCTATTTCTGGCTACCTCACGGCATCATTCTAGAAAGTCATAGTATCTTGACTTGTTTTCACATCTGTAAAATGAGAACAATTCAAACAAAGTGCAGAAAACATCAACTAAAAGGATAAACATCTGATCCCTTCCTTGCTAACCAAAGGCAGAACAAAACAGGACTGAGCGGGCATGATGGGGAGAAGGCATAGCCCTGGGCAGAACACTGCAGGCAGCTCTGTTATGAAGGATGAAACGACTTAAGGAATCATTTTCCTTGTTATGACTAAGAGAGTGGTCTGGGTTCCTGGCAGAGTTCATCTGACTACAACTGAACTAGGCCACTTCCTTTTGAAAGACCTTAAACTATAATTATCTAAACTGCAGACTCCCTCTGGGCTAACCAAGAATGCTTTGGCCTTTGCTCTGTGCTGCTGTATGAACTTTCAGCACCTTGGCTTGGCAGCTCTGTTGGGAGGGTCGTCTTGGCCCCAGCACTGACCACTGGGGGGCCTGTGTGCTCCAATAACCAACTGTGTATTTTCCTAGATGGGTTTTGGTCCTCCACCTCCAGCTCTCCGAAGTTACTCAGGCGATGGATTAAAGCCTTAGTTCCTTACTAATAGAGACCTATGATTGCAACTGTTTGGGAAAGCACATTCCTAAATAGGACTGCTGCTTGGGAGAATACATTAAGGCACTGGCAAGTGGAAGACAGCCTGGGAGCAGCAGTTGGCACCTGGCCCAGCACAGCACCACCTCCTCCCCTAGAGTAGCAGCAGACCTGACCCACATTTTCCATTAGCTCAAGAAACGGCTCTCTGTATTCTGACTGGAAAGAAAGCATTGGCCAGGGTTAAATGGCTGCCCCAGTATCATAGGGATAGTCTTATCAGCTTTTATTATGGTCAGTGAAGCCTCCCCTCAATCAGCAGTCCCTTTTCTTTTATGGCCAAATCTGGTTGGTTCTCCTGTTTTACTTTCAGTACCTCAAGTGCTGCATCTTGACACACAGCCCCCTCCTCCTTGGGAGAAGAGTCAAGAAAACAGGCTGCTGTTTCCGAGACTCTCTTAAACACACCAGCATGCTCTACCTTATCAGCCTAGAATTAAGCTGACACAAAAGTGTTGAAGGGACTTAGTAAAGATAAAATTAATTTATTTGCCCTTCTGAAGTCAGGGCATTACCTAGCTTGCAGAGCACTAATCATGTCCTGCAACCACGGCTTGGGAATCTAGTTGTCTGGAGTGCCTGCCCCCTCCGGGGCCTCCTAAGCCAGCCACCTCTTTGTCCCCATTCTCCTCCAGCATGCAAGGGAAGCTTCGGTGCACATGTGATGGCATGAGCTAAGCCGGGTCCAAACCCAGGAGCCTCCCCGGCAGTGGGGATGGAGGCTTGTAGCAGGCAGAGGACTGGTCCGTATTGGCCAGCATGGACCTGGTCTGGTCAGTGCAGAGCTGCTGTTCTGCTCCTCGAAGGCCACCTTGCCCAGAAGCTGACTCTCCAGCTCTACACTGCCCACTGGCAACTGAAAGAAGCTCATCTCAGCTGCCAAAGCTGCCACGGCAGAGGGGTCCTGACCGAATTGAGCTCGCAACATCATGTCCATTTTCTCCAGCCGCCGCTTTAGCCGCTTGGCTTCGCGCTCCCGGATAAGCCGGGCCTGCCGCTTCTCCGGAGTTTCGTTGGCGCGTTTGAGTCTCATGGCTTCTCGGGTCCCGCTGCAGGCGGCGTGCCCGCTGCTCATCCGTCTCCTGCAGGCGCTGCAGACGCTTGGCCTCCCGGTCTCGCATGCGCCTCACCTCCCGTTCCTCAGGAGTCTCGTTGTCCCTCCTGCTCTTCTTGGCCGTGCGCTCACGTTCCAGCCTCTGCAGCCGAACCTCTAGGGGCTCGTTCTGCCGCCGCAGAGCCCACTTGCGGACCCCAGGCGCCTGGGCTTCTAGCAGCTTGCGGTAGGCAGCGCAGTTGTTGCATACCAGTAGGATTCCAGCGGGGTACACGGGGGGACTGAAGGCAATGTCCTTCCCCTCTGCATTGGAGGGGCCTTCGCTGTGGTTGGGGGGTACAGATTCCATATTCAGTACTTCTGGAAGTTTTTCACTGAAAAGCAGAAGTGGGGAATAGTCAGTGACCTCTCAGCACAGCTTGGATTATAAAAAATCTGGTTCCTTGGGTGACTTAGGTGTTGGTCCTGCATTGATTCCTTGGAAATGCAGCACCCCTGGAGTTACCCTGCTTCCCATCAGGCCAGTGGCACCCATCTGTCTAGGTAGGATTCAGGCTGTACTAATGTTGAGGGGAAGAGCACCAAATATGCCAGTCCAAATGGTTTTGGTATACATACAGTGACCACCAAAACCAAAAAAGCCCTTCAGCCCCTCTGGACTCCTCTCGTCATTCTTTTTTTTTTTTTAACTAATACATTTTTAGTTTTCGACATTTGTTTTTATAAGATTTTGAGTTCTAACCCCCCCCCCCGATGGCATGCAATCTGATAAAGACTATACATGTATGATCATATTAAACATATTTCCACATTAGTCATGTTGTAAAGAAAAATCAGAACCAAAGGGAAAAACCATGTCTTGTCATTCCTGACTAGGCTGAAAGTCTGTACTATGGATCAAATGCTTAGAATTCTAAAGTTCAGTGAAGCTTGAATCACAGTCCCAGGAATGAACCCTGCCATGAAGCAAGGCAAGGCACTTGCCCAGTGTACTACACCCAGCCTCCCCTTCCCTTTGGCATTGACTGGGATGAAGATCAAGAGCCTTTGGAAAAGGTCAGACAGACCTGACAATGAAGCCCAACAGGGCTAGGCTGTCAAGATCACATACTACTGTTTTTAAGCACTGCTAAAGCAGTGGAGACGGAGTCCTAAGCACTGGCCATCCTTCCAAAGGCCTGGCTGCTTCTCTTCCCATCTGTTATCATGAATAACTCTTACTTAAGACCTTTTCCAGTTGGTAGTACCAGATGGGAGAGTGAAATTGGGATAGCATTTCTCCTCAAACCAAAATGAGTGAAGTTATTATATGCTATTACCAATTCTGTTTCCAAAAGCACATGGGTCAGTGAGCTCTGTTTGCATTGTCTGTCTCCATTTTGGCAAGGAGCAGCTCTGGGAAAACAGACCTTCCTACAACTTGTTCCCCACATGATGAAGCTGAACATAAAGCTGACCTGTTGAAGGTGGCATGGCTGGTGAAGCGGGCTCCACACACTGCGCAGTTGGACCGCTGGTCCTCAGAGTGGATGAGGAGGTGGCGGCCTAGGGACCCTGGGGAGCTGAGGGCGCGGCCACACACGGGGCACACATAACTCTTGGCACTCACCACTGCGGCAGTGTGCTGCAAAAGACAACCCTCGTGTCAACCAATTACTCTCTCACACACACCATCTCCAAGCCATCACCACCACCATGTAAACTACCCGCCGGGCAAAGGAATAATTTCTTAGTTCTTTCCTCTTATAGTTGGAACAGGAGACTCTAAGCTATTCTCTGCATAACTCCTGTAGGAATAAATATTTGTGCTTTATAGAGCTCTTGGCCTGCCTCTCTTGCTGGTCTAGGTTCTGACTCTCCTGAGAAATAGTGAGATAACTGGTTTTAACTATGGAGTCTGAACCAGAATACTTTTCAGGATCTCTCTTTGTGGACAGTATAGTGGGAGGGCTTTCAAGTGAAAGTTAAAAGTAACGAAGAAATAAGGAAATAGGAGACAACAGGAGGGAAATAGGCAAAAAGAGGAGGCTATGTGTTAGTGGGAATATGAGCTTAAATGCCTGTACTTCTGAAAAGATCATTGGAAATAGCTTATGCTCAAGATATATCCATTCTTGCAATGCAAAGACCTTCACAGTAGAGTCTAGGCTAACAAATAGGAGGGTTATCTTGTCAGAAACTATTATAAAAGTACAGGGATTCTTGGGTTAGATCAGAATATGCAAGTCCCACCCCCGTCCTCCAATCCTGCAGGATTATAATTTTCCCCCAATACTTCAGAAACATTAAGGTTACTTTTTTTCTTTTAAATTGAAGCTTTATTCATCATTAACAGATACTGGTTTTTATTTCATGTTTGAAAGATTCATTAAATAATTTTAATAGGAATAATGATAATTTCCCCAGTGTCTCCACCTGGGGGCTCAAATCATGTCATCCAATATATACCATTCATTCTCTCCAAAGTGCTATGCATTTAACAGGGAACAGAAATTAACCTCATTTTCCTGAAGAGGGAACTGAGTCCCCAGCAAGGCAATTAACCCAAAGTCAAAGACCAAGGTTAAGATGACATGTAGGGCTGGAAAGGAGTTAAATCATTCATTACTCAGGGTTCAAAAGAGGGTGTACAGCTTCTGTCAGACTCTATACCTGGTATACATGAGCAATGAGTTGTTCTCGGCTACCACAGTCCAACTGGCAAAGGGGACACTGACAGAGGCCAAGCATGGGGTCAGAATTCAGATGTTCAGAGACCTATAAACAAGCAAAACTTAATTAAAAATATAAAAGGCAAGTACACGGATGCTCAATTCAGCTGTTCCTGAGCCCAGAGTGTCTATTACTAATTTCTTCCTCTTTTCCCACCCCCTTCACAGGGCATAAGGATAAGGAAAAAAAAAAGAACAAAAACTGAGTCTCCATCTCATCCTCCTCTTCTCTCTGCAGACACAGTTAAGGAGAAGATAGTTAAATTAGTCTCCATTTCCATTCTCCTTACATGTCCTGACAGGAATGAACAGTGTGTTATCTCCTTTCCCTACTATATTTTTTGGGGAGGACTAGTCATGTAACTCCCTTCTGTGCATGTTTTTTGGGTGCCATCCTTAAAAGAGGTAACTGGAAAAGAGAGCTCCTTGGGTAGCAAATTCTTGTTTTCTTTTGTACACATGAACAGAGATTAGGGAGGGGAGGAAGGGAGTGGAGGCTGGGAAGCAGAAGGCCACTGGACAGAGACGGTTTTGTTGTTTTGGTAGGGGCCAAGGAATAGTCAAGAGAGGGGGCATCCAACCCAAGTGAAGGGTGGTCATCCTGTGGGCACTTTGTCACTTGCCTCGTGGTCCCCTATCACCTCATTCCCTCCAACACTCTGCTCTGCATTCTCTAACTCCTTTTTCACTTTCACCATCCCGCCATCCTCCTCGGATGTGTGGGAAGAGACTTCGTCTTGTGTGGTCTCCTCTTCGTCCCCCTCACTGTCGCCTGGAAGACACAAACCAGCCACTTAGTCCGACTCCAGCAGGATTCAGCCCTGAGCTTCCTGCTACACAAACTCACGGCTGTGTGTGCAGGCATGTTAGACAGCACATATCACGTGAAGTACCCTGGGGCTACAGCTGTGGTGTAGGAGGCTATACGCAGACAGAAAACGGGTGGGGTTGGAAAATGGTCATGGATCCCTGCCACGGAAACCCCCATGGGTCCCCATGCATTCATTTCACACTCTCAATCAAACCTCCCCACACAAGTCACACACTGTTCCCTCCCCCGGCATCACCTCCAGGCTCCGTACACTCACCCCCAACATCCCTCACCGACTCTAAGCATTCAGCCCAGTTGTTACTCCTTCTCTGCCCAAGGTCAGGACCCCAACACACCTCCCTCCCCCGGCTGTGGCAGCCCCAGAGACACCAGCAGGCTCTTTCCCTCGGTCGATGAAGGTGACTCTACCAGAGGAGAGGGTGACTTGGTAAATGATAATGACGTCACTTTAGGGAAGATGCTGCTCGCTACTCTGCAGTAATGGCGGCATGGCTGCCAGCCAGGAGCAGTGTGAGCTTGGGTCTGCACCCATAATTTTCCTAATTTTTTAACCAGGTGAATCCCTGAAGAGCTGACTGGAAAGAACAGGCCATATTTCAATTAAGGACAAAGTATAATTCCTGATAACTGAAGCTGGGTTTGGTTTGCTTTTAGTTATTAAGGAAGATGAATTAGATTAGACCAAAGCAGCTGAAAGGTCCCTAGCCTCCATCCCAAGAGGGTGAGCAGCCAAAGCAAAACTGTAAGACCCCACGTCCTTCCCTACCCCAGCTATGGGTTGATTTCCAGGCCTGACCATCAGCCCCGAAGAAGAGGACAGGCACCGCTTGGTTCTAGGTTCTAGGCATAGGCAATGGGAATGACTTTCATTGGCATGACACTTCCTGTTTTCTGCCTCCATCCCCATACCTCTAAATCCTCTTTGGCTCCCCAGAGATCCAAGCACTACCATTATTGGTATCTTGCAAAAGTTACCCATTACCACTCTGTCACAGATGAAATCACATCCCTGGCAGAAGGATGGCTTCTGCTCGGCTTGTCCCAGCATTTGGGACATCACGCTCTGCACAAACTGCGCAGGTCTGGACAGAAGCTTGTGGAACTAAAGGGTGCCCCTAACTGTTAGAAAAAATAATATTGAACTGCAATGTGGGTCCCTCTAACTTCCATCCGAGACTACATGTTTGAAGCTACATGTTAACATTAGCTCTTTTCATTGGCTGATGGGCTGGGTTTGAACCCTGGGATTAATTCTATCTATCTGTCTGTCTGTCTGTCTGTCTATCTATCTATCTATGCTGAATTGAAGTACCTAGAGTTACATCCCTATCTTTATCTATCCAAAAGCTTCAGGCTTTGATAATGAAAGACTGGAACTCCTTTAATAAGCATGTGTTTTATAACCAGCTCTTTTTTGATGGAGGGGGAAAGGAGAACGGTGGCAGGTTACTTCTAAGTTTAGCTGAAAAGTCTTGATACAAGAGATTGTATTAATTTTTTTTTAAAGCCTGCCAAAAGAGAAACTCCATTTTTTTTTCTGGATGGAGTTCCCTTTTTAAAAACAAAAACCCCTCCAAGCTCACTATCTAGAAAAGAGAGCCATCTGTTTTTCATAACAAAGTGATTAGATTTTTCTAGATATTATCATGCCCAGTCATGCCTGTTATTAGAGACACAGGCTTGTCCACTCAGTATTCTGTCAGTGTTTGGGGGCATTATTAGGCATCTTCATAATTAATCCTTTCAACTTCCTCTCTAGATTATAATGTCAGGTAAAAACTATTTTAATGGGGACTTCTTTTGTGCCTGGAGATGTCAAATTTGATCTCATTAAGGATAACTCCTATATCACACTGGACATTTAAATTCATACTACATTTTCCCCACCCCAAATTCTGTGAGGAGGAGGAGCCTCCCTCCTTTTAAGACCAGACCTGTGTTTTGATTGGGGGAAGCTATGCCAATGACTAGTTTTCAAGAAATGCCTCAGGCCCTGGCAGTTTACGTGATTTGTCAGGGCTGCAAAGTCAGGACGTGGCAGAGACAGAGTGTGAGCCCAGGCCTCCCTGACTCCAGGCTGGCTCTCTAGCTAATGCACCACAATGCCTCTCAAAGACTCCTGCTGCCTTTCATTAATTACAAAATATAAAGAGATACCCCAAAGATAGGGAACCTCTCCCCTCCACTTCCATGCCTGTTTGGACACGTATATCACACACACCAAAGATCTATGTGTGTCTAACACTGTGTCAGCCACTGTATACAGTGAGTGAGACATGATTTCAAACCTGGCCTAATGGAAGGTAAGCACATGCCTCTGACACACTAAGGCACCTTTTGTGAGCCTAACTCACGCCTCCTTTCGTCCTCACCCCCACGCATGCTCCCCACGGCACACACACTCTGACATTCCTCTCCCCATTGCCCTGAGTCATTACCAGAAGGTGCAGAACTCACTGCTACTGGAGGCCTGATCTCTCAGTTGCTGGATAGCTGGATGCTGATTGCCAAGATCTCCAGGAAAATCCGTTTTCATCATCGCCTGTCGGGCTTGCTCCTCCAGCCCAGCAAATACCTGTTCCCCTGGAGGTCACAAGGAAAAACAGTCAAGCTACCAGCTGGGGCAGCACATCTTCAGGGAGGCTGGCAGGAAGGTCAAATGTGAGCAGACAGGCTGCAAAGATCATTCATCTCCAAGTTAGGTTACTGCCTCCACTAGGCTTCTGGGAGCAGCTAACCTTCCTGAGCAGTAATAAAGGCCCTCTGAGCTACCTGTGGCCAACATCCCTAGAAAACATCACATACTCCCTTCCTTTACATCCTACTGACCTTGAGTTATTTCAAAGGGAATCAAGTGCAAAATAACAACTGCTTTCATTTGCAAACCTTCTGTTATGACTGGGGAAATTAAGGCAAGGGGATGGGAAGTAATCAGGCTAGAGCTAGGCCATTCAGTCTGGGGAGAACGATTCCTAACATGCATGCTTTATGGTATTCAAGTATGCAGGCAGAAAGCAAGCTAGACTATAAACTCCTGGCTGAGCACATACTCTCTAACCCACAGATCAAAGCTCCTTCTAATCCCCTCAAGTAACACATCCAGATACTGACCTTCCACCTCCCAAGCTCTTTTCCTCCAATATTTCTTCTTAAAGCCTAATGAATACAGCCAAAAGTCAATTAATTTCTGATTCAGTAATGGACACTCCCTGAACCTATTTCTACAAAAAGACCATTTATGCCTGAGACATGCCTTGAAGGGGCTGACCCAGACATATAACCTAGGGTTATATCCTAGGATCTCTTCATCCTCTTACTGATCTCTCAAAATCCAGGCTCCTCCTCCTGCTGCTTCAACACCTGGCTCCGAGTCTGATACATGCTAAGTATTTAATAAATGCCTGTGGACTAATTTCTGTTTAAAGAGACTGAGGCTCTACTCAGTACTGTAGGAGTTAACTTCTCCATGCTCTGCTCCTCATCCCCACGTGGCCCAGCAGGGAAGGGAAGGAAGAGTCTGGGGTTTTTTCCTAAGGTTATCATGATCTCAGACAAAATGGAAACTACAGCCATCATTCCCTAACCAGTGAGAGGTGGAGATGAGAAGCCCCAGTGAAACACCTCACAATAGGTGGAGCCTCTTCTGTCAGAGGAAAGGGAAGAAAAAGCCAGAGCTTAGGTTCCCAGTCATGTTCCCTGGATGGAGAAGGAGAAGGCATATGGATGACCTACCCATTCTGACCAGGATGACCTGGGAGATAGTAGAAGAGATATGCTAACTCCTCCTGCCCTAGACTACTGTATGGGAAAGGGCTTAAGGATTCTAAGCCTTAGAGTTATTACTACAATTAGGGGCAGCCTGGCCTGGAGTTAGGAAGACTGGAGTTGAGATTGGGCCTTAGACAGTCACTGTGTGACCCTGGGCAAGTCACTAACCTCTGCCTGCTTAGGCTTTCCTATCTATAAAACGGGCAATAAAATCACCTACCTCCCATGGTTGCTATGAAGGCAAATGATACAATAACTGTAAAGTGCTTAGCACAATGCCTGGCACATAGTATGTTAGTTATTATCATTATTTTATTACGCAGGAGGGTAGTCAGATTACTAATTCTTAGAGCAGATGGGGAGTCTTCTTTTGTGCAGATGCTGTCAGCTGACACCATTACTCATAACTGTCCCTGCTTCATTACTAAGAAGGGGGTTCAGGGCCCAGAGTAACAGTACAACAGAATCAACCAAGCATCAGTGACCACCAACTACCTCAGGCCCCTCTAGATACAAAGACAAAAATCAAGCAGGCCACACACTCAAGGGGCTTCTGTTCTTTAAGAAGAAAGAAAATGTATGTGTAGAAATCTCTATTTAGGCTTCCCTGGACTGTCACATGAGTCCCTAATGCAAAAAGTGAAGATCTGCTGTCCTCGACACAAGAGCCCAGGGACCTGACTTGCCCACAGCTGCTAGAGCCCAGAGATCATCTGGTCTAACCTCCTCCCTTTAGAGCCGAGGAAGCAAAGGCCCAGTAAGATAAAGGGAGTAGCTCAAGGTCACAGAGCAAGGAAGTGGAAGAACCAGGATGAAAATACCAATCTGACGCCTCACAGAAATGATGCCATAGGCCCCTCCAGCTTCCCATCGGGCCACAGCAAAGAGATTCTGCCTATGCATCCTGTAGGGCAGGGTGCCTCTGCTTAAAAACAAGTGGCAACAGACTGGTGTGACCCTGAAGGCCAAATTCTGGGCCACTAGACCCATGAGCAACAGAGAGTTCACAGAAAAACAAGAGGACAACCTTTGCAGCATCCTGACCATAGTAGCTGGTCCCTAAACTGAAGTAATAAGGAGTTTGTGAACTGTATGATTAGATTATGGCACCTGTGTCACTGCTGTCCACTGTTAAGTTCATTACATCCAAGGAAAATATAAACATTTTATAGTTACCTTTTCAAACAGTGGATAAGTACAGGGCTTCCTACTAAGAGATGGAACTTTACAGTTCAGCTAATTAGCACTAAGTGAGCTCAAAGGGCCTCATGCATTGCTATATTCCAAATGGAAAGAAGATGGGGAGCCAAGGGCACTCTCAAGAGTGGACAAGAATCCATTTTGCACAACTTCTCTTCCTCCAGGACTCTCTGACTGCTATCCTGGGCTAGCATACTTAAACAAATTAATTCTGCCACCCTTTGGTATCAATTTGTCAGGAAAAGTTTACATTCCTTTATCTTCTGGTCCTCCTGACCTAGGAAAAGAACCCAGGTAGACTGCATTCTTCAGAGATTTCACTATTTAAAATAAATAAGCAAATAAATCAGTCTACTCTTCCAGGCAAAGTACAGTGGAAAAGATTCTATAGTAGGAAGGTAAGACCTATGATTAACTTTAAAGAAAGTATTATTTATCCAAACACTCAATTCTACTATAAGGAGCCACACTTCTATATGAAAGTACTCGACTTGTTAAGGAAATGTCCAGCTACAGCTGAAATCTGAATAGATTACAGCAATAAATGTCAATGAATAATTATAGAATTGCCTATGATTATTTCCTCATTTTGAAACAGGACAGACTGATTCTGATTCTTTCTCCTTTACATAATACAAGACCACCTTATTGAAACATGGCTGTTTGGCCATTAATAGCTGAGAAAAAGGCACCTGGGGACCACAATAAGCTAGCATAATCTTACCTGTCCTTGCCCATGAAATGGAAATATTGTGGTTCTTGTCTGACAAAAGCTTTAGAGACTGGCTGATACTCAAGGCAAGGAAGGCTAAGGGCAATTGAGAAGTATGGGATGGAAGGTATTATATATAAAGTCAAAGATTTTAGGATTCCATTTCTTTTTCCTGTGATCCAGGTACTACAAAACTAGTCACTGTAACTAAATAAATGCCATTTTAGGCTTTTGTAAGACAGCAAAAACACATCCTAAGAAAAGAGGTGAGCCATGAAATGCGTAAGTCCCAGAAGCTGTCCATCTAGGGGCTCCATTCCCACTTCTTCCCACTTGAACAGTCCTGTAACACTGGAGACTGACCTCTCTCTGCTCTGTGTTAATAATGGCCCCTTACCTTACAGGGGCACTAACAGCGAAGGAAGGCAAAACACACAGTGCTCTTCAGCTGAAAGGGATAGTACATGATGGGTGCTTTAAGAGTCAAGGCTTTACAGAAAAACCTGGAAAGACTTATATGGTCTGATGCTAAGTGAAGTGAGCAGAACCAAGAGGACTTTGTACACAATAACAGCCACGTTATGCAATGACTAAGATTGTTAAACTGAACCTTTCTCAGCATTATGAGGATCTAAGACATTTCCAGAGGCCTCGGGATGGATAATGCTGTTCACATTCAAAGAAAGAACTATGGAAGTCGAATCGCTATTTTTTTTTTACCTTCTGTTGAGTTTTGTTTCATCTTTCTGATGGTTCCTCGTATTGGTTTTAATTTTTACTTACAACTTCACTAATGTGAAAATATGTTTAATGGGTATGTAAATGTAAAGCCTATATCAGATTGTGTGCTGTCTTGGGGAGGGTGGGGGGGAGGAAAAGGGAGAAAAATTTTCAACTCAAAAGCACATGGAAAAAATAAAAAAATTTAAATAAAAAAAAGGAAAAAAAAAGAGTCAAGGCTTTAGCCCTTTGATTAAGCTCCTTGAGGGCAGGGACTGTCTTTTGTCTCTTTTCATTTCCCCAGTGCATAGCACAGTGCTGGGCACATAGTAGGTGCTTACTAAATGCTGACTGACTTTGCAATAGGAAAGCAAGGATCTCTTTAAGATGAAAGTTTCATTTTTTTTAAAAGCAGTTTGCTCTATCTGAATACACTGCGAAGCTTCGGGAGATGACGTATTTGTAGCTGTCTTTCTAGATGCAGCTGTCAAGGACTAATGGGAGATCTGACACACACCTCAGCCTTTTAACATTTACCATGTCACTAAGATTTCCTCCAAGTTTTCATTCCAAAAGTTCTATATTCATTTCTTTCAAAAGTGAACTAGATATAGCACAGGAATCCCTCTAGAGAATTTGTTTTGAGAAGGAGGAAGAGGGGAAAAGAGGCAGAGGGCATGCATGTCAGAAATTGGGCAGCTTACAAAGCCCAGCACACTCTGAGTTCCTCTTCCCCCCCTCCCCCCAGCAGTGTCTGCAGAGCCTGAGCCAACAAATGCAGTCTGGCTACAGGAGCAGGGCGCTGGTGTTCCTCGGGGGCTTTGGGCCACGGCACAATGCTCTGTTTTCTTGGAATGCAGACCCAATGAAACCTAGTCATCGCTGCTTTCCTCTGCTGATGAACTCTGACTTGGAGCAAAGCTTCTGTAGCCTTCTCCTACTTCCTCGATCTTGAGTCTATTCTGATCACTTTTTTTTTTTGCTTTTAGGCAATTGGGGTTAAGTGACTTGCCCAGGGTCACACAGCTAGTAAGTGTCAAGTGTTTGGCCTGAAGCCAAATTTGAATTCAGGTCCTCCTGACTTCAGGGCTGGTGCTCTATTCACTGCACTACCTCGCTGCCCCCTACTCTGATCACTTTATCAGAGGATAAGGTAGACATACAGGATCAGATTCAATACAGTGAACTGGACCACTGCACATGCTGCCCCTCCCTTTCAGCCAGGCCGAAGAAGCATCAAAACCACCTACAGTCTGTCAACATTATTGTCAGGGCCAGCTCCATTGTACCACTGTTAAAGAAACAATCTTGGTGATCTGCCTCTTGATCATGCCAGGTAAATCCACCCTCTGAGAGTGTTTCCCTGTTCCCAACACCGGCTAGCCCCAGGACTTTCAGACCCACTTGGGACACCTGCTCTCCAGGAGCAGCTCCCAGCCCAAGAGTGGAAGGTCTTTGCAGAGGTGCCTGCTCTGAGTGCCATCCCCCACACCAGGCTCCAGTTACTCCCCTCTCTCACACAAAGGTCACTGGGCTCAGAGGCACCAAGGCAGCTGCAGATGTGCATGGTGCTGCCCTCCCCCACAGCTGGTCTGTGCATCTGTCTCCAGCCCCGAATACCAAGGCTCCCAGGATCTGGCTGACTAAAGCAAGAAGGGGCTGGAATGGACTTTAGTCTCCAGGGTAAAGGCCACAGTGTGTTATGCCACCCACATATTACTTACCAACTCCCTTTCATTCAGCCTGAGCAGTCTGTCTACATGGTGAGTGCTATTAGAAACTTCTCTGGTTGACCTACACCGAATCCCCTTAATCCACCAAAGAGGCCACTGCAACCCAGCCTGGCCCTGCCCTGCCCTGCCCTGGCCGTGTCTGCATCACTTAGCAACTTCCCTCCCTCGCCCAGCATCTGGCTCACAGTCCACACGCCAGATCACAGCAGCCAAAGCCACTCAATTCTCCTGCTCCTTCGCTGCCCTCTGAGAAGCGGCCACACACAGTTGCTTTGCCCCCCATTGCTAATTTACCTCTTCTCTTTCATCTTCATTTAATTCAACCAGCCACACCCACCTATATCCAGGAAAAATCTTGCACCAGAGAATTTCCACCTCCTCCACTCAACAATTTCTCTCTCTCTCAATACAAAATTTGTGCACAATTACTGCACAGCTTCCCTGTAACCTCAATCCCTTCCCCAGAAGCTCTCTCAAGCCTGACTCCATCAGCATTCTCTCCTTCTGAGAATGCCCCAATCCCCTTTCTTCAGGTCTATTTCCAACCAAACCTTCTTCCCTACTCACTGCACCCAGAGAGCCTCTCTCTTCCCCATACATCAGGGATCTGCTAGTCACCCTAACACAGAGTGTCACTCTTTCAAATTCTGTCATATTTTCTGGGTGAGGATCTCCAGTCAATACAGGGACCTTCCCCTTCATTCAATAAGTATTTATCGAGCATACAGCCCTGAGGAAAATTCCTTTTAAAAATCTGTTCCTTTGCTGTCCGGCCAGTCCTAGACACCAAACCGTATATCTACATATAAAACAATTCAGTAACAATGGCAAGCTGACATTTCTTGCCTGGAATATTGTAAGTCTCCTCCCTTCTTCAATCTGTTTTACCTGCTAGGAGGCAGTGTGGCAGGACAGAGAAGAGAGCTGGCCCAGAAGTCAGGAAGGTCTGAGCCGCCTTGCCTCTGACACATACAGGCCGCGTAGCCCTGAGCACTTAGTCAGAGACAGCTGGTGGCACCGTGGTTAGAGTGCTGGGCCTGAAGTCCCTGTTTGCCTCAGTTTCATCAACTGTAAAATGGGGATAATAATAGTACCTACTTCCTGGGTTGTTATGAGGATCAAATGAGATAAATTATAAAATTATAAAAAAAATTACTCAGCACAGTGCCTGGCACATAGTAGGTGCTCTATAAATGTTTCCCCCCACACATCCCTCTAAGACTACACATTGTGGAAGTGTTGACCTGCACTGGGGAAGGAGTTTCCCCACCAAAAGCTCCCTATGCCAATACAATCATAGGGAAAGTACCCCTTCCTCTCACTGTGGACAGAGTAATCTTCCTAAAACAACACTCTGCCCAGGTCACTCTTCTGCTCAAAGACTTTCAATAGCTATTCACTGCCTGTGGAATCGGCTCTCAATTTTCAGCATTCAGGTCTCTCTCTGATCACAGCCAAACCTCCCCCCTACCCCAACCTTGAGTTCCAATCCTTCATCAACCGAATTCTCTAGACAGTATCTAATCACTGTCCCTTAAGTAACCCACATCCATTTCCCACTCTGTGCTTTGGTCCGGCCTTACCTCCCCCTCTCCACTGATCTAATCACTACTCATTCTTCAGCACCTTTGCCTCTAGGAGGCAATTCACAGATGCTTCTTGCAGTCCCACCTGTCCAGGTAGCATCTTCTCCACCCCCACATCCCTAGTGCTCTTCGGTCCTTCCAGGTCCTGAAGGTATTACTGGCTGCATTCTTCCCTTTTAACAGTCAGCTGAGGCCAATGTTTGACATGTGGCCTATTCAGCTATAAGCTGCCTGAGCATTAGGACTATGACTTATTTGCTCTTTGTATGGACAGTGTCCATTTTAGGGCCTTGCACATAACACACGCTCAAGAAAATATGTGCTGTTGATGAAACTTCTTGTACTCCTCCCACCAGCAATTCTCGTATCTTCAAGCTCTGCCTTACCTCCCTCCACAAATTAAATCTAATGCTAACCACTGTCCTACTGACAACTCAGTTCCCTTTCCCAATCTGCTTTTTCTCCTTGGGTCCCAAGTTTTCAGAGACTCTAGAATAGGCTCCTTAGAACTAGGAAAGGCCTTAGAACTCATCTCCTCCAGACCCCTTCCTTTTTCTCATACTCACAGTGAACTTTATTTGGATTGGTCTGTTTCCGACGGGACATGTTTCCCTGGCCCCGTAGTTCTGGCCTCGTCCAGCTTCACCACTGGAAATGTTCCTGCCTGCTTGTAAGGCACTGACCTAGAGACAGTGACAACTGTCAGGAATTTCTGCCTCTGGGTATCACATAAATTTAAAAGGTAAAGGATTCTTAAAAACAGCCCCATGAAAACAGCATGAAATACCCCAGGTGCCAAGAGCCTATGTACCAAGAAATGAAATTACCCACAGAGAAACAGAAATGAACACATTCTCCAGCCCAGGACCAAGGTCCTCAGAGAATTCAGTGGAAGAAGGCTCCTCAAAGGTCCTCTCTAACTCCATCTAGAGGATGAGCAGGATCTTGGCAAGTGATCTGGACTGCAGCCACAGGACAGAGTGAGAGAAAGATACACAGGTACCCTGATCCAGGATGATTTGGGGCCCAAAGAAATCACCCCCATGAATGGCATCGGAGGTAAGCAGGAAGCCCAGAGAGGGATCAGAGCTCACATTTCACATGCCCACAGGAAGTCAAGTACTGCATACTGCAACATACTGAAGCTTCCAGGCGGCTGTCAAGCTCACATTGTAGTTATCTCACCCAGAGGTGACAAAGGCATCAGTCCCTGTGGGATAGGAAAGAAAGGTCCCCAAATCCTGGATATCTGTAAATGAAAATGGTATGGGAAAACACTGCTTCTGTCTAGTGATCCAAGTATAATGATGGACGGATGGATGGATACCAACAGTGCTAATTCCCCAAAGGGAAGAAAGGCCCCCACCGTAAAGAGCACCCACATGGCCCTGTGTCCACAGAGCCACTGGTGAAGCCAAAGCTAATGACTTCAGCAGCGAGACTCAATCCACCCTCCATGACTTGGAAGGTCATTTGACAAAGAAGGAAGCTTCAAAAGAGGAGAAACATTCCCTATCCAGGAAAGGCTGCAGAACTCCTTTTCCCTCATCCACTTTCCTGCTATAAGAGGAAAAGAAGTCCAAGCATAAAGGTTCTTCAGAATCTCTTACTTTGGAAGGAAGACAGCCAAGACAGATCATAGGCCTCAATCCTACCTAAGACAGAGAAGCATGTAGCTCATTCCCTTCTAAGTTTTTCCCATCTTCTCCCTCTATAAAACTACTCCTGTGATATACAAATATAGCTTACTCTACGTTAAATATGTAGCCAGTAGTGGTTTAATTATATTTCCAAGCAGTGAGGCATTTACCATTTGTTATACCAGACCCAAAATCAGATCCTGCCTCCCAGAAGAGAAAGGAAGCAACCCCAAAGAGCTAAGACAGGTTTGCATAAGAAGCAACACTGGGAAGAGCTTTTACCAGGATTTTCTCTCTCACCCTCAAGAAAAGAGAATCTCCTCAAAGCATCAGTTAAAAAATAAAACCCATCCCTCCAATAGCAAAAATTATACAGTGCTACTACCACAGGGAGAGGTTTTCTGTAGCACTAACTTTATTTTTTTTTCTTCCTATTCCTCAAGTCCAGTAAGTTAGCTTCTCTATATTATTATACAGTGTGACTTCACCTGGAGTTTCCCAACACAGGCATTTAAAACATTACTCACTTTTATTCAGACCTCAGGGTTTTAATAAACTGAGATATACCCCTCTAGTGTAAAACAAATGAGAAGTTTTAATTTGATCATCTCTAAAGTTTTTTAATTAATCAAAAATAGCAATCATGATATTATTTTCGTAGCATTTTCTTTGAGGAAAGGCCTCTTCTGGTTGAAGGGCCCCTCTCTAGCTCATTTTGTCAGGCAAGGACCTAATGATAAGGCTACAGAATTTGGGCTAGGTAAATAGGAGGGAGAGATGCATGTCTCCTGCATATTTTAGGTTGCCGTGTCCCCAGCTAGCATCTAATAATTCCCCCTAGTGGCCAAATCACTTGGACACAACAACCTGTGGGGTTCCAGGAAGGATGAGTAACACCCCCGTTCCCCCCATCCCTCAAAAGAAATTAACTACACACAGACCTCTAAAGCCCACATAATAATGATAATACTAAAGTCCAAAATAATCTACTTGGGCAAAGACCTAATAAGATCAACCCTTCACAGAGAAAGGAATTCAAAGATCATTGCTTTCAACTTAGCCTCAGTTCCCCCACCTAGATCTGAAACCATGCTAAAAAAAAAAGACAATCCTGGGACTCGATGACTTTTTTGAACAAAGGGAAGATGAAGAAAAAGAGAACTTGGAGAGATTCAGGTGTCAGAGACAGATTCCCAAAAGGAGTTCAGTCACCATTTAACTGTGGCTGGCAGCTGGGTTAAGAGTCCTCATTAAAAAAGGCCCAAAGTCTCCCCACCGACTTCTAGCATGATCATCATAGTGAACAACAAGGCTATTCTACAGGTACTGGGCTGCAGTTTCCTGAGCACGCTGAAAGTCTCAATGAGCAAAATCAGGTGAAATTCAAGCAGTTAAAGACTGTACAGTTCTCACCTCCAGCTCTTATGCTGTTCCCATGGAGCAAGTAAACTCGACTGAATCCAGCTGATTTTATCTGCGAAATTGGAGAGAAGAGCTAGTTATAGACACCTTACTATTCACCACATTCCCACCTGTTTGGACAGTGTAGTATCAGCTGAAATTTCTCTTTTCACTATTCCGAACTTAAATTGTCCCAAGGAATAATCATCAGACAAGTTCCAAAGGTCTTTACAGACGTTAAAACAAAACAAATCAAACAACCCCCTCCCCTCCCCCCGACCAACACCTTCGGGCAACAAAGTAGTCTCAGAAATCCAAAATGTAAAAGTTTTCTGGGGAGACCCGAAGCCCAGGGCTGATCCTCTCCCTTCCTAGCCCCGCAAGCCAACGGGCCTGGCTGACTCTTCTGGCACGGCTCGGAGGATAACAGCCACCCCTTTGTCACCCACCCAGCCAGCCACCGGCCCTGGGAGGCAGGGAGAGAGGCTGCGAGGGAACTAGCCCCTTCTCATGCGGAGACAGATGGACCGGCAGACGGGAAGAGGGAAGGGGGCGGGGAGCAAGAGACGGCGGGCACCCACACACCAGGCTCCCCCGGCGATCGGGGCCAAGGCCGGGGAGACAGGACCCCCCCACCCCGGTCCTCAAGCCCCAAGCTCGGAGCCCAATAAAAAGAGGAACAGATTGGGGAGGGCAGGAGAGAAGCCCTTCTGTCCCCATCTCAGAAGCAGACAGACGGAAAAGGCAAACCACAGAAAGGGCAGGGGGTGGGGAGGGGGGCTTCACCGACCGTCTCTTCCCCTCCCCCGCCCGCCCCGCTCCCCGACCGCCCGAGAGAGTCCTCCCCTCCCCCACCCCAGACGCAGACAGACAAAAGGACAGACAGACCCGAGCCCGGACGGCCTCGGGAGGGGGCGGGGGCTGCTCCCCTCCCGCCCCACGCCGGAGCGTCCCGAGCCTGGGCCGGGAGGCGGGGAAGGGGGGGGCTCTTTACCCGGTACCGGGCGCTCCGACCCCCACGCTGGGCCCCGCCTCCGGCCGGCCAGACAGACGGACCACCGGACAATGGACCCCGGGTTCGCGACTCGGGCCACGCCAGGGCCGGGGCCTCTCCGGGCCGGGGCCGGGGCCAGGCGGGCTCTGGCCGGGCCGTGCGCGGGGATCCTGCGGGCGGCGCTGCAGACGGACAAAGCCAGCGGCAGACAGACAGACGGAGGGGGGAAAAGATGGCGACGCGAGCGGCGGGACCGCGCCGCTCGTGCACCCGCCAGCGGGGGGGGGAGGCGCGTGCACGAGCAGGAGCCGCCGGAGCCGCGTCCCCGCCTCCCTCATCCCCGCTCGCCGCCGCCGGCTCCTCCTCCTCCCCCTCTCCATGGGCGGGGCCTCCCTCCGGAGCCCCCCCCCTCGGCCTGCCGCCACGCCCTCTGGACCTCTGCTCTCCTCCACAGTCAAGTTCAACCGCAGACCCCACATTGCTGCCCCACCCCGCCTCAGCCCGCCCCCCAAACCCCAAACCCCAAAGTGCCCGGCTCTTTTCGGCCCCCCTTCCTGCCCGAGCGGACGCGGGGCAGGGGGAGGGGTTGGTGGGTAGGGGGGGAGGGGGCAGAGCCGCGGGTGACTTTGACGTCTCGGCCCTCCCTTCCCCCTCCTTCCTTCCCCTCCCCCCGCCCCGCCCTCAGCTGGGAGCCACGAGGAAGTGGCCCGGAGGGGTGGGGGCTGTCGCCTCTCTTCCCCGCGAGCGGGCTGTCTGTCTGAATCACTTTGGTTGTGTCTGTGACTGTCTCTCTGGGTCTCTCTGTCTCTGTCTGACTGTCTGGGGTCCGTCTGGCTGTCTCTCTGGGTCTGTCTCGGTCTGCGTCTCAGTCTCTCTCTGTCTCGGCTTCTCTCTCTCCGTCTCTTCCCTTCCTCTTCACCTCCCCCTTCCCCTCCCCCTCCTCTATTCCTAACCCCTTTGCAGCCTTTCCACCTCGCGTGGCTTCACTCCACTGGTGGCCCTGGAACTAAAAGCTCACAAACCCCTCTTTTTAGAAAACGATGGAAGTCCCCAGGCTAGGATAAACCACTGTTTGGGATAGATTTATCCTAAATCTCCACTGATTAACAGCTAATTTTTAATCCTCTGCTTAATCTATTCCAGTGAAGTCCTGGAGGTCTTGTTGCCTAGAAATGGCTTTTTCAAATTACTTTTTATTTTTTGGTTTGGCTGTGATGTTCCAGTCCAAAATAGTTCTAGCCAATAAAATGTTTTTGGTTGGTGTTTCCTCTAAAAATAACTTCCTTGAAGCCTAAACATTAAATACTTGTTCTCAACCTTCCAGTCAAGTGTAAGACTGTTTCTGGGGAAGAACTCAAACAAGAATGAACACTGGCTTTTACACCTAACAGTAGCCCTTTCTCTTCTGTTAACAAAAAAAAAAAAAACCCTTACACATATATATGTGTATATATTTTATTCTGGATTTAAAAAATATCAAAAAAAAGAACATTTCTATTTATAAAGTAGAACAACAACAACAAAAGACTGTACCTGAATTAAGAGTATCTGTTATGTACTTGTTTTTCCTTTTAAGTACCTAATAAATTAAACATCTAACTTTGAAAACTGTCCTGTTTCTCTGTTTCCTTCTGGCCTCCCTTCTGTTCCTCTTCAGTGTACTTTAAAAATGCTTCAGTGACCCTCTTTTCTTTCATCTTTTTTTCTTTTTGTCAACCCTATAGATGCCCTTTCTCTTCTCCCATCCTTCCCTCCCCCACCAACTGAAAAAAAAAGGAAAGGAAAAACCCCTTGTTATAAATATGCAGTCAAGCAAAACAAATTCCCACATTGGCCACGTCTCTAAAACGTTTATTTAATTCTGCACCTTGAGTCCATCACTTCTCCTACTGGTAGTTTTTGACATCTTACACTGAGGAATGTAAATGTGGTTTTATCACACAATGAAGAAATTGACATTTTCAGAAGATGCTAAAAGGTAAAAAGTAAGAAGCAGGGGGCAGCTAGGTGGCGCAGTGGCTAAAACACCGGCCCTGCAGTCAGTGGGGCCTAAGTTCAAATCCGGTCTCAGACACCTAACACTTACTAGCTGTGTGACTCTGGGTAAGTAACTTAAGCCCAAATGCCTCAAAAAAAAAAAAAAAAGCAAGAAGCAGCCCCCAGCTACCTTCTGTGCTTCTGCCTTTGTGAGTTCTAATTTCTAGGTCCTGTGTTCTGCAAACTCCTCTCTACTTTTTTCCACATGTTGAAAAACAATCGTGGCTACAAAAGGAAATAGGACACGATCCTCAGTTTCCTCATCTGTAAAGTGGGTGTAACATCACCTACTTCACAGGGTTGTTGGGAGGCTCAAATGAGAAGAAGAAAAAAGGGCATGTGAAGTGCTTTGTAAACTGTTAAGTACCACATAAATGTCAGCCTTAATAACTAATATTATTATATTCCATCGGGATTAAAGGAGGATGAAGTTGCAGAGGGGTTTTGAGGTAGAGAATAGAGGAGATTAAGCTCATGACAGATGGCTTTAATTTTTTTGGTAAAAGAAGAGAGCTGAGAAAAGTAGGTGTTAGGATTTTGAGGAGAGAAGAGGTTTGGGACATCTGCTGAGGGAAGGATGGTGGAAAGTTAATCAGTAAAGATCTGTGCAGCAATGAGGGCCCAGCTGCCATAAGGGAACATTAATAGTGGTCCCAGACTGCTAGTTTCTATAACCTCCTTATCAGTGTTCAGGAGCTCTGGAGCAGGTCACAGAAGGAGGACCTGGGGGTCATTCAGGGTTAAGGGTTGGCAGCATAGGCTAGCGCTATCTTTCCCAAATGCCTCACATTTGATTATGTCATATGTGTGTATAGACATGCATGTATTTATTAACTTTACAGTTAGTCTGTATATATTTTTACATGAGATTATTTCATTCATTGTGTTTGAATCTTCAGCACTTAAGGCAATGCCTGACTACTATGGTAGGTACTTACAAAATATTTGTTGATTGATTGGAGCAAGGGATTTGACGACAGAGAACAAATTACTGTATTAGTTGAATTGATTAATTATAGGACAGGTGGGTAGCGTAACTTATAGGATAGGATGATGTGAGGTTTTTATAGGCATATTAAAAAGAGTGTGTGAGAGGAAGAAGTATAGGAGGAAGGGGAATTTGTTGATGAGAAGGAATATTGACAGGTTTAGGAACTTAGGCACAGAAGACGGAAAGGCTTGATCTGGATGGAGTTGAGAGAATATGAGAAGCAGGAGACAGGAAAAGGTTTGTTTTTGTTTTAAATCTGGACAAATGGCTCTGAATTAGAGGGATGAAAGCAGCTGGAGGTCAGAGTTTATAGTCACAGGAAAATGCCTGTGGATTGGGTCTCCTGGAGGGATGTATCTTTTGATCCCTGCAAAGAATTTAGAATCATAGGCTGTTGTAGTTGGAAGGAAACTATTCTCTCCTACCCCAACTTTAGATGGAGAAACTGAGGCCCAGAACCTTGCCATGGGTTGAATATCTAATTAGAAGCTGAGACATAATTTGGATTTGGGTCTCTGAGTCCAGTGCTCCTTTAACTATGTGCCATCTCCTTGAAAAAGGACATTTCATTTTCAAGTAATCCTGTGACCTATACTTCTCTTTGTTGTGTATCTATTTTAAAAGTTTTATTGTTGCTTTTTGTTTTAACATCAATTATTTTTTAATATGCCCTTCTCCTTTTCCTTCTCAGTGAGCCTTCCTCTGTAACAAAGGGTAAATAAAAGTTATGCAAAACCATCCAGCACATTGACCCATATAACAGTATATGCAGCATTTTACACCCACAGTCCCTTCTCCAACAAAATCAAAGCATTAGATGACTGCTGCTTGGGAATATGTACAAGGGAATTATTTGTTAATACAGAGTTGGACTTAAATAATCTCTAAATTTCTTAGATTCTATGATTTTCCATTTTAACTTTCTTACATAAAAATGTTAACTTGCCATATCAGCTGCATTAGTATCCCTGTTATTTGTCCTTTGTTTTTGAAGAGAATCAATGACATCACAGGGTGCGGGGCGACATTCTTCATGCGTGTATGCGTGTGTGTGTGTGTGTGTGTGTGTGTGTGTGTGTGTGAATTGGATTTAAGTTAGAGGTGCATAAAGTCATCAGCCTCATTCTTCCAGTCATCAAAGTTCAGTGGTAGGACAAAAGTCAAGCTGGGGATGAAGTGGATGACTTTGATGTCCTCTGTGTATGACCAAGCTCCAAACACTCCCCAGTGCCTGCTTCTGTCACTTCACGGCCACCGAAACAAATTGTTCCCATCAGCCCATTCCACCAGGGGAAGTCTTCATATGCCCATTGGGGTAGACAGTGTTCCTGTGAAGCACTGATGGAGCCCCTACAACCTACTTGTTAGTGCTGAGGAACACAAAGAATTCAGTTCATCCTAAGACAGCTTGACTTTAAAATTTCTGAAAAGGTTTTATTCATATTGACTATTTTTATATCAAAGTCCTTTTGTCATACTATACTCTACCCACACCCAGTGAACCTTCCCTTGTGACAAAGAAATGCAGTTAATCTATAACCAGCGGACACAACTACCACTTGTAACAGAAGGAAAATAACATGCAGCATTCTGTGCCCAGAGTTCCCCACCTTGACAGTAAAAAGAGGGAGGTGTGTTTCCTCATTTCTGCTTTGGAGCTCAAATTCCTTATTATAATTACACTGCATTCAACTTTAGTGGTCTTTGCCTTGATTTTTTTTTAGTCATTGTGTGTATTGTTTTCTGGGTTCTGATTACTCGACTCTGTATCAATTCATACAAGTCTTCTCTTTCACTGAATTCAAGAGCTTACCTTTTTTATTTGTTGGGGGAGGGGAGAAAGAGCAGATGTGTGTTTTCTTGCTATGGAGAATTCCAGTGGAGGATATTCCTTCAGTCAATGCATATCAACCTTTTTTCTGCCAGTTATAGTCTTAAAGAGTTCCTTGAGGGCACTCAGAGGTTAAGTGACTAGTTCAGGGTCACAATGCCAAAAAATCTTACCTTTCAAATGAGATCCAGTTACTGTTCTCCAATACTTTAACCTCCTACAGAGCAAAATAAAAGCTTTTTTAAAAGTTTCTTTTTTAACATAGCTCCTAATAATGATCATTGCCATGAAATGAAATTTATTTTGAAATTATACAAGGTGTCTCAAAAGTCTTAGTGCAGTTTTTAGCTTTCATAAATTCATAAGTATAAATGTTACAAACTTATAAAATATTTGAAAGGTTATTTAAAACTTTAAAATATTTGCTTTTATTAAAATTTGAAACTATATATCATTCTAGTAGATTTTCAAACTTTGTAAAAACTTCTATCAGCTGCTGCTCAGTGACTGAAAGAATTGAATGTGTAATACTAGTTTTAAGATCATCCAAAGAATGACATGACAGTTTTGACGTGACCTCACAAGAAAAAAGTCTAATATAGATGGATCAGGTGATTGAGGCAGCCAAGCAAGACCTCTTTTGATCCACCAGAAAAAGTCATACACGCAGCACATAACGACAGGGTAACCCATCTTTAAACTTGAATTATTATTCAAAATTCACCAAACTAAACAAGTATTAAAGCATTTTAAATACACTTTCAAATCATGTGTTTTGTCAGTTTGTAGTATTTGTATTTCTTAAATTACTAAAGCTTAAAACTACACTGAGATTTTTGAGACATCCTACATAATGATATTTGAAAATAATTCAGAAGTGGATTTTACTCAATTCCTCAGAAATCAGTATAGCAAACAAAAAGAACAAAGCAATAAATTACTTTTAATATTGAAGTCGGAGTCCATAAAAAAGCAGGGGTAAAAACCAAGATGGGCATTTTTCCAATTCTACACTTGTTTTACAAGAAACTCCATAAACGTACATAGTACAGGATTAGTGATATGAATGGTACCTGCCATCCTGATAATCTGACTTCCATTCAACTACCTTCAATGCATCAAGAAATGTTATTTTCTAATATGGTTCTTCCTTTGTTTCTTATTCTTTACACTGGTATTTTTAGACTTAAAGCTGTTGAGACCCTCCTTAGTATAAGTGAAAATCTGTATTTTTAAAAGAAACAGTAAAAAATTAAACTCTTTACTTCTGATCTGGTTTCCCTTTTTAATCTATTCCACATTATTATGTATTTGTTTAAGCCATTACTGAAGGCTCAAAGATACACATAACTTGCAAGTATCCACACATGTTCTTATAAAAATTACCCTAACACATTAGGCATAGCAATCACTGGGTTATAGTTTCTATATTTTGAGTTATGTCACACTGAAATACTGTAATTAGTTCATCAACAAGAAATAAGGATTGATCATTTTCCATGCTGATGACAAAACTGGGATTTTTACAGTTAAAATTGGGATGCTGGTAGAAGTAAATAGATGTGGCTGGAAAAACATTGTTTTCATTGTGTGCCCAGGTCCCCACAGGGAACTGATGTATTCAGTCAGTCTGAGATGAAGCTGTTTAATGGCTAGTTACGGTGTAACACAGAGATAGTTGAGTAATTGACCTATTCATTTTTAAAAATCTTTCTAGAGCATTGATATTTTATTTGAAAATTTGTAAGCAATAAAGACATCAAATGTGTTAAAATACAAAACTGAACTAGATCTTGTGAGGTCATGAATTGAGATTGTAGAAAGTGGCATCAGTAATTTATTTCCAAATTTTGCTCAAAGTAAAATATTTGATTTCAACATTGGAATCATCATAAGCATAATAAAACAGTAGCCCCTTGAAGTTACATGACCATTCGAATAGATACTTTAAGTAGTATGTAATGATAGTTTAAAAAGAAAAACAACTTTCAAAGATGTTCATTACATTTTCATGCCATAAAGCCACTTTTAGTAGCTGAATGAGGTAAAGATACATATAAGATTTCAGATGTTACCAAACCTTATGCACCTTTAATTTTCATTTATTTTTCTGTAAAGAGATATAAAGTCTCAATAAAGTAATCAATTCCCCATTTTTTATGTCTTTCTTCTAAAACATCAACCTTCTCAAGACACTGAATATCACAAGTTGAGCCAAACAAACTTTTAACCTCACTGTCAGGAACATAAAATGGTGGACCTGAATATTTAGTTGGATCATATGAAAGAGTAGCTGGGAGATAGCAAAAACCTTTTTCCATTAGAACCAACATTAACTTGGCATGGCATCCTTGGTCATCTGGATTAACTGCAACTAAGGCTCCTCTATCCCAAATCCTTTGCCAACATCGGCCCTGGGAAGGTCAAAAATACTGCCACAAAATAAAGTGATATTCCCAGATGAGCTCTTAAATACTTTGGCTCCTGGAATTCTTGCAACTGATTCTTCTTGGTAAGACATATTCTGCTCGGTAAAAAATTCCCATATGGTCAGTTCACTGATTTCTACTCCAACTACACTATGACCCAGGTCAGCAAACCACTTCATTTCAACTGTTTTACTGCAAAAAGGGACCCAGAGTCCATTTCTGCCATGAAGAAATGTATTCATGTTTCCTTAATAACTTATTTCATGTTCTTGATGAAATCCAATATTGTGAGTCTCCCATTTTTGCTGCCAATATTCAAGAGTTAGTGCCTTGTTTTGCTGTTCCCCAAGATGAGAATGATCTTTGGCTCCTGCTACAGCCGTTGAATCATCGTGATCTCTGGGCAGGTATCATCCACAAATCAGGAATTTCTCATGTAGTTTCACAGACTCAAACTCCTTCTACACAACTACCCGAACTAACTGGCTTATTCTTCCAACCTCAGGACACAATCCTCTTTAGCTAGATCAGGGGTTCTTAACCTTTTTTGTATCATAGACCCTTTCGGCAGTCTGGTAAAGCCTATGGAATACCCTTTTCAGAATCATGTTTCTAAATGCATAAAATACATTGAATGACAAATGAAACCAATTATATTGAAATGGTTATATACTAAAAAAACCTGTATCTTATAAACATGTATGTATATATTACATACTTTAAATGTGTTTATACATAAATAAGATTTATTTACATATGTATGTATTTACAGACCCAGGTTAAGAATCCCAAGGCTAGATGATTTTACATGATCTAATTCAGCGATTGATGCCCGTAAGGCACTCAAGTGTATATATAGCAGCTTCCTTCTATTTACCTTCCCTCTGTGGACCATCTCCAATTTATTCTCTCTCTATCTTGTTTCCATACAGTTTGTATGTTGCATCCCCATTAGATGGTAAGCTACTTGAGAAAAGAGCCTGCCTTTTGTCTTTCTTTTTTTCCATCCTCAGCACTTAGCACAGAACCTGGCCCACAGTAGGTGCTTAACGAATGCTAATTGATTGTTTGCTGGGAAAAAAGGGTTGTGGCTTTTCTTGCATAATACTAAATAGTTTTCTAGGATGGCTAGATCAATGAACGGTTCCACCATGGTCACGAAGAGTCGGATAAGACTGAAACACCAGCAAAACTGATTTAGAGTTTGATCAAGGTGAAGTAATCTCCGCTTTTTAACAACACTAATTTTGGGAGGGGGTAGGGAAAGGACCGGAGTTAGGGGAAACGTGCAGAGGGCGACCGAGGGAGAGGACTGCGGCCACAGGTGGGCAAGGAAAGCAGAGGGGATGGAGCCAGACGCCAGGACGCCGGGCGGGACTCTCTGGTAACCAAGGTTACCGAGCGCTCCAAGGGAGAACTGGGGAGAGGAGGAAGCGAGGGGGAGGGGCAAGGAAAGGGGGGCAACCCCTCCCAACCCCGGAGTCTGAGAGGAGACAGCAGCAGGTGCGGGGGTGGGGGGCGGTGTGAGGGGGATCTGAACCTTGAGACCCCCGAGGGATGTGGGGCGGCCAGGGCCAATCAGTTCACCTCACTGGGCCTTGGTTTCCTCTTCTATGAAATGGGGAGGTTGGAATCGCGACAGGCTTAAACCTTTGACCCATGGAGAAGGGGGGGGCCGCGCTCTTTTACCAGCGGCCGCCCCACCCTGCTCGTGCGGTCCCCACCCCGGTGACTCAGCCGGTGTGACCCGGTCGCGTTACCTTGCACTCCTCCCTTCTCAGGTGGAGCGACTTCCGCTGCGGGAAGTAGTCCCCGCTTGGAGGTTGGAGTCGTCGTGAACCGGTAGGTCGCGGGAAGCGGCCGGGGCGCAGCCTATCTCCGGAAGGGGGCGTGACCTATCCCAGACAAGCAGCGGGGGCCTATCTCCGGAAGGGGGCGGGGCATATCCCGGAAAGGGGGTGGGGCATATCCCGGAAAGGGGGTGTGGTCATCCCGCCCCCGCGGATCCCTCCGCCTGCGCCAGTGGGACTGAGGCCGAGAGTGCCGCCATTTTGGACGTTGGGTTCTCGCTACTGCAGTCCCCGCCGCTGCCACCGCCGCCGCCGCCGCCACCGCCGCCGCCGTCTCCCGTCCGCTGTCGGGCTGGTGAGTGTGCAGCCTCCGGCCTGCAGCGTCGCGCCCTCCTCCCGCTACCCCCAGAGACAGCCAGGAAAGGAGGCCTTGGAGCCAGACACCTACGGGGAGGGAGCGGTCAGGGCCGAGGTCAGCGGGAGCCGGGGGCGGCTCAGGGGCGCAGGCGTCGGTCCGTCCGTCCGCTTGTCCCAGAATCTTGGCTGGGCCCGGGCTCCCAGGAGGCCCCACCCCCGCCTCGTTGGCAGAGCCGGCCCCGGCGCCTTTGTCTCGGGGCAAGTTTTCCCTTTTAGCCGCAGCCTCGCCCAGGCCACTGGAGACGCGCCTACGCGTGCTCCACTGCGGAGCTGCTTCCCCAGTGGGATGGAGAAAGGGGCGGGGGAGCCATTTGGGCCTCTGGCCGTATCACCAGCAGAGGGTTGGGAAGAGAATCACTGGGTTCCGCGAGTGGGGGCGTGCTGCCGCTGAAGGGGTCGGGGGAAGAAATCACTAAGTGCCACGGGTTGGGAGCGGGGGGGGCTTACGCCATGCCACGAGAGTAGTCAGGGGAGGGGGCGGAATACCGCTGCGGACCGCTAAGCTCGTTTGCGCCGTGGACTCCTTTGTCGACTGTCTGGTGAAGCCCTTTTCACAATCATGTTTTAAATGCATAGGATAAAATATTTAGGTTTATAAAAGAAACAAGTTATTCTGAAATCCACATACAACTACATTACGCTGAAATACATTATCAAGAAGTTAACATGCCCCAGGTTAAGACCTTTCGCTCTATTCTGTTGGTATCATTCAATGCCCCGTGTAGGAATAAAAACGCTTATCTTTAAAATCACCTCTGTTGGTGTCAATGTCCATTTTCAGTTTTTTTCCTTTACTTTAACTTTATTTAAAAAAATTTTTTTTATTTACCATTAACTTTAAAAAAATTTGCAGTTCATGGAAAAATTCGGTATTGAAATAGAAATCTAAACAACCCTTCAGAAAACGTTAGGGGCAGGGAAGGGCTTGTCATTTCATAGGTTCTTGCGTGAAGGAGCTTCTTTTGCCAATTCAGGCTTGTCTTTGCAACTTATTACCTTTAAAGCAAGGGTTCTTAACCTGGGGTCCATGAACTTTTTTTAAATGTTATTTTAATAATTATGTTTCAGTATAACTATGTCATCCTGTGCATTTTGCTTTATGCATTTAAAAATATCTGAGAAGGGATCCATAATGGAAAAAAAAAAGGTTAAGAAACCCTGTCTAGGAGAGGAATGAATTTGGCCTGGGTTGTCAGACAGCCCTTACCCGGGAGAAGCAGGGCTTGCTTGAACCCAGATCTTCCTGACTTTTGAGGCTGGTTACCTATCCACTAGAATCACTGCTTTGTGTTAGTATAGTTTGCTGTCTGGTCTGGTAGGCACCTTTGTTGCCTGCCTTTTCCTGGTTTCCTTTGAGATTCTTGTTCTTTTGGCCCTTCAGGCGAATTCATTAATACTTTCCTAGCCCTAGAAAATAATCAATTGGTTGGCCTGACACTGAATAAGTGGAGTGATTTAGGTAGTGTTTCTCTGTCTGTGCTGATTTTGTTAAAAGGTGTAAAATCTAGAGCTAGTTTTAGCAGTGATGTTTCTAAGGCATCTGTGTTTATAAATCAATATTTTAATGATTTAATATAAGCAAATACCTGTAATTTCTTAAAATTTTGTGAACTGTCACTGTACTCAGCCTCTGTGATAGCAGTGTTTTGGTGAATTGCAGATAGTGTATAAAAAGAGAATATACAAAATAACTCAACGAAAAATGCTATAAAACACAAATTTTAAAATGTCTTAGCTTTAAGAACATTTTGAATTTAAAAAATTGTAAAGGTTTCAGTGGAATTGGGAATTGCATTTCCCCATTACTCATTTTTTTTTCTAGCAGTTATAACTTGCTTAAATTGATTAAAAGTGCTGCATATTAGCCTTGTGTGAATCTGGTTTTAGACATAAAACAGTGTTTAATTTGGGCCCTATTGCTTTTGAAACAGAATCAAGCCATTATTGTGTGCTTTATATATAGGTCTAGATTAGAAGTATACAGAATTTGCTGGGCTGTGAATACAGTGGAGCAAAGCTACTCACTCAATTTAGTAATATTTAATATAATAGGGAAGTCTTACTTTCATGATAAGTATGTTTGTAGTCTTTATTGCTCCATCTAGATTTCCATAAAGGCAGCTGTAAAGTGCTCTTGGACTGCAGGATTTATTTTTAAATATCTGCATCACCTAAGAGGCAGCTAGGTGGTTCAGTGAGTGACTGGGCCTGGAGTCAGGAAGACCTGAGTTTGAATCCTGCCTCAGACGCCAGCTGAACCTCTTTTTGCCTTAATCCATTGTAGAAGGAAATGAAAAACCAGTCTAGTAACTTTGCCAAGAAAACCCCGTGGACAGTACCATGAGGTCATGAATAGTTGGACATGACTGAACAATAACAATCACACACATCCTCATAAATCTTTCATTTTGATCAACATAGTAATTCCAACCTGGGTGTGTTTTCAAGAGAATGTAAAAACTGAATCTTGATTATGTGAAAGTCATAGGGTTCATGATTTAAAAAAAGGTTTGGTCATCAAAGTTTTGATTGTAATTTATGGTGTGGCATAAGAGTGGCATACTCTTACTACCCAGAATTTTGTTAGTTGAGTCTTCCTAGCCAGTTGACATGTCCTCAAATCAGATGACAGTGATTATCCTGAGGAATATTGTAGTGTGCCTGTTTAATCACCAAAGAAAGCTCAGGATAGTTTGTGTTAAGTTTTGTGTTGTTGTTATTGTATTCTAATTCTTTAAAAATTGATAATTTGTTATTATGTGTGGTAAGTATTAATCAGAATATTTGATTAAACAATGCTTCATTCCCAGTTGTATTTAATATAGAGTTTACTGTAGCTGTCTTTGGAAAAGTTCAGGGGAAGTATACCTCTGTACTTAAATGGATCCATGTGGATGCTCCCCTCGGATCCATGGAAGCCTCTCTCATCTTGGGGAATCCTTGTCCATATCCTCTCATAAATTCTCCACCGGGTAACCCCTGCAATGTTTTGGTGGTTCTCTAGGTTTAACATTTTGATACCAGTGTAGTAGATAAGCTGTCCATCTTGTTATGTTACCAACCTGTCTCCTTTTCTGGTCACAGATATTGTGGTCACTAGATACATTAATGTCATTTCTTGCAAGCAAGCCATTGGTAGAAGGCTGAAGCTATTCGTGTTCACCAGGCATCTATCTCTCCATTGCTCTTTGGGTCACTTGACAATTTTGATTCTTTAGAGATTGTGGTGTTCTGTGATTGACCGCCGGATTATAACTGGAAGAATGTTGTTGACTAAATCCCCAGAGGATTTCTCTTTCAGTGATAAGTAAGTGTGGGATTAGAGAAAGCACTGCTCAGTGCACCAAGTGCTGTCTAGTCAGCTTTCCTCTTCTGTTCAGTGCTGAGTCTTGCCCATTGCTCTATCTGCAGATATATATCCTGATGAGCCATTCTGGCTGTCGATCTGACACGTATTCCAAATGGCATGTTTCTTATCCACTTGGTGTTTTCTGTGTGGATTAAGCCAAAGAGGGCTGTTTGGGTCATTGTGGATCCATTTGGGGAGGCTCTGTGATATTCCTAAGATCATCAGTTCAGAGCTGGAGGCCATTGAGTCTAATCTGGGGGTTAGAGGATTTGTGCAAGGTCACACAGATATTAAGCATCAGAGACAGGATTTGAACCCAGAACCTCTGACCCCAAAGCTAGTGCTCTTTTTTAGAACTTGAAGTGTCACACAATGTCATCTATAAAGAAGAGCACTTGGAGGACTTCACCGTCATTAAGGAATCCCTCTTCCATTTGAACATGAATGGACGGACATCCTTAGTAACAGTAGCAAATTTGATGAGCATGTATTCTTGTTGCACTTTACAAATGATCTTGTTTGTAGCATTTGTCAAAGGAAACTCTTGATCTTAACACACGTGTGGGAGATATCTCATTGGAGGAGAGCCTTTAAGGTGGTGTGTTGCTCGGTCAGTCGAGCTTTTTATCAATAAACAGTAGTCAGGGCGAGCCTGTATTCTCTGTCCCTTTCGGTTAAGTGTATGGCTAGTGCTAGGATATGGTGGAATTGAGGAAGTCATAGTCTAGGATATGTTGTAAGCTCTCAACTTCTCCCTTCCCTCCCCTATATACTCTACATCTGTGGGGATCGTTGTGACAGGAAACCATGCAAACCTGGAACAGTTTGAGTCAACTATGCCCTTCTGTGAATTTTCTGGGAGTCAGCTGTGGACTTTTTGGGCAAGAATATAAAAGTGGTTTTTAGGACTTTGAAAGGGAGCTCCTGAGACGTCAGGGAACATTCTCAGAAATTTTGTATAAGAAAGTAAGCACAAGAGTCTGTAGCTATGAATGCCCTCTAATCTCTCTTTTTCATTTAATCAACAAGCATTTATCAGGCACTTTATGCCAGGCGCTGTCCTGATATTTTAGAACCAGAGGGCAAAATAGAAATGGAAAGAATCCACAGATCTCCTCCTGAAAGAGATCCCCAAAAGAAAACTCCTAGGAATATTATAGCCAAATTCCAGAGTTCCCAGATCAAGGAGAAAATATTACAAGCTGCCAGAAGGAAACAGTTCAAGTACTGTGGAAACATAATCAGGATAACACAAGATTTAGCAGCTTCTACATTAAAGGACCACA